ATTTAGAAAGCCATAATAATGTACGACAGTATTTCTAGCCGTATTTCCAAATTTATCTGGCCGAACGCCCTCTTGAGACATAGCATTGTGTAATAGAATGTTCCCGACGGGTATTTGAACCTGTAGTCGACCTCACGGGATCAACTTATTTCGTGGTTGAGGGCGCCAAAGTTCCCAAGTCAGACAATAACAAACACCAGCGACAACTGCGTACGTATCAACATGTAAATAACTTTATTACACTCCTTTGTCTCTCCGACTGTCTGTTCAACTGTCTGGTGACTAAACAGAAAGATAATAATAAAAATAAGACCGTAATAAAAATAAGAATAAAAAATGCATATCAGAAATAATAATGTAAAAGGATACCAAAATGAACTAATGCACATTATGAAGTATTTCATATTGTATTCTACAATATGAATCATAAATACACCAGCATGGAATATAGCAATCAACTATTATTAACATTACTACAATGATAGAACATTATCAATCAACATAGTAGCTTAGTCTTAATAAACAAACGATTCTATATGTGAATATATCACACCATCATAAATAAAACAACATGAATAAGAGTAATGTCAACTTCTCTATCTCCAAATACAATTTTAACTTACAAACTGATTAGCAATCATCTGGATATCCCAATGTGCATTATCTTAACTCTGTAAATTAATTTATGACCAAATAATGTATAACCATAAAATAGACATTGTATTGGCGTCACATATGTTATAATTGCGTGCCTCGGTAACGTTTACTCTCAACGTAAGACCTTTAAACTTATCATAAAACAACAAAAAAATAACATACAATAGAACTAAATTATCACAAATAAAGTACGATAAACTAGCATCAATACTAGGATTCTATCATTAAGTATTAAGTTAAATTACAGTATACAAAACTATAAAGTGTAATACGCTACCACTATTGGTAAGCTCAAAGGCCAAAATGTGACTGGTTAATGAACGCCTATGAGCGCAGCCATATTTGTTTACATCCAACAATGACCCTTGACCTCAGGGTCGGTCATAAAACCATGCTTGCTTCTGTCAAAGCACGCTTGTCTTACAATGCAATGGAGTACAAGCTAAGAATGCTAGTTTATCAATGCTATACAATATATGGCGATCTTAAAGCTCTGAATTAATAGAACAATGAGTACTCTAACAATTTTACTGTTTCTTCACGGAGGATTAATCAAATTATCAACTATTTAGAAAGCCATAATACTGTACAGAACGATATAATTTTAACAATGTTCCAAGCAGTAACTCTAGAAATATAGCACTGTTGATTGAATTTTAATACTCATAATAAAGTGAAACTAATCGACGATAATCAAGTTAATCATCAAAATGTACTTAATAATAATAACAAAGTATAAACTATGAAAAAAATTCAAAACATACCAAAAATGCACATGCTCTAAAATTCAAATGAGTGGTCGGCAAATACACGTCATCTCCTGTACATAACCAGGACACCACTGACCCACGCTAATAAAATTAATCTAAAAAAGCTTAATCACGTGACCGATGACGACATAGAATATATCGCCCTCAACAATATCGCCCCCTACAATAGGTTTGGGGACCTTTCACAGGACCTGTTCAACCATGAAGCCTTCGTAGTCTAGTGGTTATGACGCTCGCCTTGTCAGCGAGAGGTCGCAGGTTCGAATCCCGTCGGAGGAATTTTATTACACAATGATTTTTCATAGGACTTTA